CACAAATGCTTCACATTCAGTGCAAGAGATAGATTCATGGAGAATAGGCCCATCAGTGACTAAAGGGAATCCCTCTGAATCCCAGTTCCAGGAGGCAACTTCAGGGGAAGGCCTCAGCCTCTAGTCGGACTAGATGGACAAAACCAAATCTCTTAATATACAAGAACAGAACATTAAAATGTTAACACGTTGGTACATGACACCTAGGAAACTGAATTGTATAAACAAGTCAGGGCTATTTTGGGGCAGGAACGCACAGGAATGGAGTTCCGTCTGGCTCCCGAGTTGGCCACGCCCAGCAGGAACTCATTAGCATAATAGGCCACACCCAACAGCAGAAACTCAGCAGGATTGGCTACATTAGGGGGGTGTGGCCTAACATGCAAAGGAGTTCCTGCTACAAAAAAAGCCCTGGGTTTTGACAACAAACAAGGTAAACAGAATAATAAGCAAAAGGTGGGTGTGGCTGGATGAGCACACTTCTGGTAACATGGGGGTGTGGCCTAATGCGCTAATGAGCTCTACTGTCAGGGGTGTGGCCTAATATGCTAACGAGTTTCTGCTGTTGGGTGTGGCCTATTATGCTAATGAGTTCCTGCTGGGCGTGGCCCTGAAATAAGTCAATATCTCCACTGTGTTGGTGGGAGTGTACAGTGATCAAGCAGTTTTGACAAGATATAGTACTTCAAATTGAAAACTTTAACTGGTTATAAAATTCCGTTGAAACTGGAGATTATATTACTGAATTTTTGGCAAGAAGTTAATACTCCACAGATTAGGAAAGAGCTGATAATGATACTTTTTACGGCAGCCAAGACTACGATCGCATCATGCTGGAAGGAAACAGATAAACCATTAATTAAAAATTGGAAATTGGTACTCTAGAATTTGGGACCATTTGAATTTGGATAAAATCGCGGACTCTCTAGCAGATAACGATCCTTCATTGGGACCTTCCTATTATTTGGAAAGATGGTATCCAATTCTAATCAAATTGGAAGAGATTCTTGAAGGGAATACACAGTCTACAAATTATCGTTATCTTAATCTCCTGAAAGTAAATTGGTTAATTTAATAACCCCTAATGTAGTATTTGTTGTATTAGTTGTAGATATTTTGTTGTTGATTTAATGTTTATGTTTTTGTTGTGTATTGTGTATTGGAGGACTGTGATTTGAATGACGGTGTAATGTGTTTTTGCACCTTAATGTTTTTTATTGAACGTATTTTTGATTGTTGTGAATTGTCGTATAGAAAATCAATAAATTAAAAAAAAATAGTTGGACACTGTGTGAGACAGGATACTGCACTAGATGGACCACTGGTCTGACCCAGCAGGGCTCTTCTTGTGTTCTTATCAGGGGAAGGCCTCGGCCTCTCTGCCCTGTTGTTGGCCCTCCAGAGGAACTGGTTGGCCACTGTGTGAGACAGGATGCCGAATGACATGGACCACTGGTCTGATCCAGCAGGGCTCTTCTGGAGAGCCAGTTTGGTGTAGTGGTGAAGAGTGCGGACTCTAATCTGGGAGAACCGGGTTTGATTCCCCACTCCTCCACTTGCACCTGGCTGGAGGACCTTGGGCAAGCCGTAGTTCTGATAAGAGCTATTCTTGAAAAAGAGCCGTTTCCGTCAGAGCTCTCTCAGCCCCACCTACCTCACAGGGTGTCTGTTGTGGGGAGGGGAAGGGAAAGCAGTTTGTAAGCCGCTCTGAGACACCTTTGGGTAGTGAAGGGCGGGGTATAAATCCTTGGGTAGTGAAGGGCGGGGAAGGGAAAGGAGTTTGTAAGCGTCTACGCGTTGCTTCTTTTAAAAAAGAAAAGGCTAAATTCTTTGCCTGACCGAAAGAATAGTAGTAGGGCTCTTTCCAGATCAGATGTGGAGAAAAATCAGCCTTCTGCAGGTGGAAAGGGTTTTGCCTCCCCCTGTAGCCCAGGAAAAGCCCTGGACAGTTTGGAGTGGCAATGATGTGCTCTACCTGTGGAACTTTGACCTGTCACAGGTGAGACCTGCAAAAAAAAGAAAGAAGAGGAGACAATCCAAGGTGTTACATTGCACCAGAGATTCATCGGGGCATAGTTCAGCAAAACAATACAGAGGAATCGAGGAAATAATCAGGAGAGATCTCAAAAAAGCTTTTGTTGCTATTAGAATCATTGAATCATAGAGCTGGAAGGGACCTCCCGGGTCATCTAGTCCAACCCCCTGCACAATGCAGGGAATTCACAAATAGGTCCCCCACACACACCCCCAGTGACCCCTGTTCCATGCCCAGAAGATGACAAAAAACTCTCCAGGATTGCCGGCCAAACTGGCCTGGAGAAAAATTGCTTCCTGACCCCAAAGTGGCGATCAGCATTTTCTTAGGCGTGTAAGAAATTTGAGGAAGAAATTTGTATAAAAAATACCTCCTCTTTCTGGTTCAAGATAAAGGAGACAGTGCCATCGGAGGTGGGGTTGGCGATCAGGGGTACAAAATTCTCCTGACCAGGGACAGCTTTGGGGGGGGGGGGCGCTAAAAAAATTAACAGCCCACTGAGAACCAGTGTGGCGTAGCAGTTGGTGTCAAACTAAGATCTGGGAGACCCAGGTCCGAATTCCTACTCTTCCCATAGAAACCTGTTGAGCGACCTAGGGCCTATCACACACCCTCCGCCTAGCCTACCTCACAGGGTTATTGTGAAGATAAAATGGAGGAGGAGGAACATAAGCTGCTTCAGGTCTCCAATGGTGCCCCCAGCACGGACATACAGAGCCTTCTGCCTCTGAACAGGGAGGTTCCATTTAATCTTCGTGGTTTATATTCACTGATGGACTTGTCCTTCCATGGATTTATCTAATCCCATATTACGGGCAACTGAAACCGGTAGACTCATCGCTATCATCCTGTGGCAGGGAACTCCACATGCTAATTACTCGTTGAGTGATGAAATGTCTCCTTTGGCCAATACTAGATCCACAGCCCATTAACCACACAGTCCAATAAGTGTTTCCGAGTTCTAATATTATGGGCGAGGGAGAAAAAAGAGTTCTCTCGGTCCAATCTCCCTATCGTATGCATGATTTTATAAACCTGTACATTACTACCCTTGGCTTTAAGATTCTAAACCATATGAATTTTTTTTAAAAAAATTAGGCACAAGAAGAACACAGGAAGAGTCCTCCGGGATCAGAGCAATGGTCCATCTAGCCAGTTTGGTGTAGTGGTTAAGTGCGTGGACTCGAATCTGGGAGAACCGGGTTTAATTCCCCACTCCTCCACATGCAGCTGCTGGTGTGACCTTAGGTCAGTCACAAGTTCTCTCAGAGCTGTTCTCTCAAGGGCAGTCCTTGAAAGAGCTCTCTCAGCCCCGCCTACCTCACAGGGTGCCTGTTGTGGGGAGGGGAAGGAGTTTGTAAGCTGTTCTCTCAAGAGCAGTCCTTGAAAGAGCTCTCTCAGCCCCGCCTACCTCACAGGGTGCCTGTTGTGGGGAGGGGAAGGGAAAGGAGTTTGTAAGCCGCTCTGAGACTCCTTCGGGTAGTGAAGGGCGGGGTATAAATCCAATCTCTTCTTCTTCTCTTCTAGTCCAGCGTCCTGTCCCATGCAGTGGCCAACCAGTTCCTCTGAAGAGCCAACAACAGAGCACAGAGGCCGAGGCCTTCCCCTGATGTTGCCTCCTGGCTCTGGGATTCACAGGTTGACTGCCTCTGAACGTGGAGGTTTCCTTTAGTCACCAGAGTTAGTAGCCACTATCCTCGCCTGATCCCTTGTAAAGCTGTCTGTGCCTGTGGCCCTCACTCCATCCACCGGCAATAAATTCCACATTTTAATCGCTCGCTGCGTACAGAAGTATTTCCTTTTGTCCACTCTGAACCTACTGCAGTCGAGTTCTATCATTTTGGCAGAGGGAGAAAAATCTCTCTTTGTCAACTCTCTCTCCATGCCTAGTCTTTATGGCCAGGGACCTGCATACCTGAGGGACCGCCTTTCCCGATATGTACCTTAAAGGACGCTGCGATCTGGGACCCAGAATCGGCTGGCTCTCCCGACGTTTAAGGAGGCCAGACTGGTGGTAACTAGAGCCGGGGCTTTTTCGGTGGCGGCTCCACTCTGGTGAAACGCGCTCCTAGAGGAGACCAGGGCCCTGCGGGACCTCTCACAGTCCTGCGGGGCCTGTAAAACGGAGCTCTTCCGCCAGGCCTTTGGAGCCACCACCACTAGCACCACTAATTCCTCTACCGCCAACAACTAATATCTATCCTGGCGGAACCCTGGCCTGTGGTCCCTTAATCTCTGCCTGAACCAATCACCCTAGAAAGCCGCAGAAGGCCAAGGAGCTAACTGTAAAGTGAGGAATGTTGCTAGCCAGAGGTAATTTCGTAGAAAACGAGGTGCAGGAGCTCATTAGCATAACTCATTAGCATAACTCATTTGCATATGCCACACCCCCTGACATCACTGGAAGTGTGTCAGGAGGCAACACCCACCACTCAGGCTCCACTGGATTCTTTTGGATTGCTAGCTATGGGGGGAGGTGTTGCGCAGATCTGCCCACACAGAGGAGGGAGAGCTTGTACCTGAATAAAACTTGGTCTTAAAGGTGCCACTGGACTGTTATGGACTGAGGGGGGGGGGTGGGCTCTGCAACTTACCTGGCTGCTTCTTGCTCTGACTGCTGGGAGCAGGGGGTGGGGCTTGTTGCATATGCCCGCCCCCTGGGCTCTTTACTGCCAGAGCGCCGCTCCTGTGCGCTCCTGTGGGAAATGACCCCTGCTGCTAGCACTTTATCATGTTTGTGTTTTAACATTGTACTTTTAATGTACGTGATTTTATGTGATTGTATTTTGGAATTTTATCGTACTTGTAAGCCGCCCTGAGCCGGCCTGGGCCAAGAGGGAGTAGTAGTAGTAGTAGTAGTAGTAGTAGTAGTAGTAGTAATAATAATAATAATAACAACAACAACAACAACCTGCAAAAGACGTTAGAAGGGGAGGGGAAAACTGAAGAAGAAGGAAAAAAGTACTTTTGTCTCCCGGCAAGATGGAACGGTAAAAACGGTCCCTCTTCTTCTTCTCTTCGGGATTGGGGGGCAGCGGTTTGGAGCCGTGGTTCAGGGTCCCCCCGTCTTTGCTGCCGGCGCCTATCATGGTGCTCGTGTTCCTCATCGGGGGAGCCGGCGGCTTGTCTTCTGCTTCTGTCCCATTGTTGGACATCTTCACCCGGTGGCTGCTCTAGCTAGAATCGAGAGGGAAGAAAGAGAACGTTGTGGTTTGGGGGTGGCCGGCCACTGAGGACCGCAGCGGAACGGGAGAGACAGGGGCCTTCTGGTTCCCGGTGGACAGGGGATCGGTACCGTGCACAGCCGCTTGGGTCTCTACACTGACTTTTAAAGCGGCATTACATATACAGGAATGTAGGACGCCGCCTCATCACCAGCTGTGTCTTGCTGCTTCGTGCAGCCAAATTTGACCTCTTCTTCCCGACTAAAGGAGACTTCCGTCAATTTAAGTGGGAAGAAGGAGGAGGAGGACGACGAAGAAGAAGAGGAGGATGAGGACGAGGAGGAGATTGGATTTATACCCTGCCCTTCACTACCCAAAGGTGTCTCAGAGCGGCTTACAAACTCCTTCCCCTTCCCCTCCCCACAACAGACACCCTGTGAGGTGGGTGGGGCTGAGAGAGCTCTGACAGAAACGGCTCTTTTTCAAGAACAGCTCTTATCAGAACTATGGCTACCCGAAGGAGTCTCAGAGCGGCTTACAAACTCCTTTCCCTCCCCCTCCCCGCAACAGACACCCTGTGAGCAATGTTCCCTCTAAGCTCTGGAGTCTCGTGAGCAAAAATTCTACTTTGTGACCTACTGACATTACAGTTGTGAGTGAGCCATTTGGCTACTGCATAAATTAGTCTGCTCTGGAGCCATCCTTCCTGAGCGAGGACAAAAATGTGTGAGCTAGAGGCTAAAAAACTGTGAGCTAGCTCACACTAACTCAGCTTAGAGGGAACACTGCCTGTGAGGTAGGTGAGGCTGAGAGAGCTCTGACAGAAACGGCTCTTTTTCAATAACACCTCTTATCAGAACTATGGCTACCCGAAGGAGTCACAGAGCGGCTTACAAACTCCTTTCCCTCCCCCTCCCCACAACAGACACCCTGTGAGGTAGGTTGGGCTGAGAGAGCTCTGACAGAAACGTCTCTTTTCCAAGAACACCTCTTATCAGAACTATGGCTTGCCCAAGGTCATCCAGCCAGGTGCAAGTGGAGGAGTGGGGAATCAAACCTGGTTCTCCCAGATTAGAGTCCACGCACTTAACCACTACACCAAACTGGACCGCACTACACTACAACAGCAATATATAGCAAAAGAGCTCCCTTGGGAACATCTGCAATAGCAGGAGTGGACTGGGCTCCTGGGCCTTATTTCTGTAGCCCACTTGCTAAGAAGAACGTACAGAAACAGGCAAAGCTGACCATCCCAGCCCAGCTGGCTCTAGTTAGGGTGGCCAGCTACAGAGCTCCTGTTACCCTGGGATCACATGAGAATCTGAGAGACCCGAGTTCAAAACTTCACTCCGCCATGACAGCTCGCTGGGTGACCTTGGGGCCAGTCGTCCACCCTCAGCCGAACCTACCTCGCAGGGTTGTTGTGAGGGAAAATGGAGAAAGGGAGGCTGTTGTCAACCCTGCTGGGGAGAAAACATGGCTGCCAACCGCCAGGTGGCGGCTGGAGATCTCCTGGGATGACAGCTGATTTTCCAGGTGACAGAGATCCGTTCCCCCTGGAGAAAACGGCCGCTCTGGAAGGTGGACTCTATGGCACTGTATCCCGCTGAAGCACCTCCCCTCCCCAAATCCCACCCTCACTAGACTCCACCCCCCTAAATCTCCAGGAACTTCCCAACCCAAATCTGGCAACCCTAGGAGCAATGCAAAAATAGAACCGCAAGAACTATACACAGTGCGCTCACTATTTCTTTAACAAAAACCGTAAAGTTGTAAATATGAAATGTACAAAAGTAATACTGATACATTCAAGTTGTAAATTCAGGTACATAAAGATAGAAGATGACAACGACGGGACGGTGGTCTCTGGAATGCGATGCCGTTTCGACAAACACTTAGTTAACACATAAGCTTTATTCTGTCTGAGAGATGTTCTCCTCCATCACTTCTGCAATGTTATTGAACTCCATGTGAATTGGGCAGCTTTTCCATTGGTGCAATTTTTCATACATTATCAGCTTATAGACTCTTGGTTAGAAGAAGACGTTTGTCGAAACACAGGGCTATTTTTGGGCAGGAACGCACAGGAACGGAGTTCCGGCTGGCTCCTGAGTTGGCCACGCCCAGCAGGAACTCATTAGCATAATAGGCCACGCCCAACAGCAGAAACTCATTAGGATTGGCTACATTAGGGGTGTGTGGCCTAACATGCAAAGGAGTACCTGCTACAAAAAAAGGCCCTGGGTTTTGACAACAGACAAGGTAAACAGAATAAGGAGCAAAAGGTGGGTGTGGCTGGATGACCACATTTCTGGTACCACAGGAGTGTGGCCTCATATGCTAATGGCCTGTGCTGTCAGGGGTGTGGCCTAATATGCTAATGAGTTTCTGCTGTTGGGTGTGGCCAATTATGCTAATGAGTTCCTGCTGGGCTTTTTCTACAAAAACCCCCTGTTGAAACAGCATCGCATTCCGGAGACCACCGTCCCGTCGTGTACCTGAATTTACAACTTGAATGTATCGTTATTACTTTTGTACATTTCATATTTACAACTTTACGGTTTTTGTTAAAGAAATAGTGAGTGCACTGTGTACATTTCTTGTGGTTCTATTTTTTATGTCTACGGACTGTGACCATATTTGTTTTTGGGTATATTAACCCTAGGAGGAAAACAGGTATACATGAACTAAAATAAATAGATAACTCACACAGTGGAGAAAGCTTTGCTTGCTAGGGACAGTGATAAGAGGTGGATGGTTCACCAATAAGTTTCGGCACGTCGTCAGGAGCAGGAGGTGACACCCACCCACCCCAGACCCAGAAATTCCGGTCAGGAGTGTCAACTGACCCGGCCCCCTGATATCTCAGCCTGACCGGCTCACCAGCTTCATGAAATTCTCTCCTGCCGTTCCCGTTTTTGTTCATTTACTTTCTCTATTTCTAGCCACCCCTCCTCCCAAAGGAACCCGAGGAAGATGAAAAGATATTGATTAAAAATAATAATTAAAAAATACGAACAGAGCAACGGTGCCTACGGCAGCATAATCACAGATCCGTGCGGCATCTCTCCACAAACGGCGGCAACAGAAGCTCACGGAAACACAGGCCTGTGCCAGGCCACCCGCTAAGGTTTTTACCATAGAGTCTCCAGCAATTCCTAGAGCAACCTCACGTCACTTCTGGGTATTGTCAAGAACAACATAATGGCATATAGGCTATGCATGAAGCTGCCTTATACTGAATCAGACCATTGATCTATCAAGAGCAGTATGGTCTACTCAGACTGGCAGCAGCTCTCCGGGTTGTTGGTGGTGGTGGAGGAGGAGGAGGAGGAGATTGGATTTATACCCTGCCCTTCACTATCCGAAGGAGTCTCAGAGCAGCTTACAATCTCCTTTCCTTCCCCCTCCCCTCAACAGACACCCTGTGAGGTAGGTGGGGCTGAGGGAGCTCTCTCGAGAACTGTCCATGAGCGAACAGCTCTAAGAGAGAACTTGTGACTGATCCAAGGTCACACCAGCAGCTGCATGTGGAGGAGTGGGGAATCAAACCCGGTTCTCCTAGATTAGAGTCCGTCACTCTTAACCACTATACCAAACTGGCTCTTAAGGTCTTTCACCTCACCTACCATCTGGTCCTTTTAACCGGAGATGCTGAGGATCGAACCTGGGCCCTTCTGCATGCCAAGCAGACGCTGTACCTCAGAGCCCCTCTCCACAGCTCTCCAGGTTCTCAGGCAAAGATCTTTCACATCACCTACTGCCTAACTGGAGAGGCCGGGGACTGAATCTGGGACCTTCTGCATGCCAAGCAGAGGCTTCTCCAGAGCCCCGCGCCCTCCGCACAGAGCTGCCTTTGTACTGAATCAAGACCCTTGGGTTAAGTGGTTTGGTGTAGTGGTTAAGTGTGTCTGCTGGATGGCCTTGGGCAAGCCATAGTTCTGGCACAGCTGTTCTTGAAAAAGAGCCATTTCTGTCAGAGCTCTCTCAGCCCCACTCACCTCACAGGGTGTCTGTTGTGGGGAGGGGAAGGGAAAGGAGTTTGTAAGCCGCTCTGAGACACCTTTGGGTAGTGAAGGGCGGGGTATAAATCCAATCTCTTCTTCTTCTTCTTTTACCTCCCAGGGTGTCTGTTGTGGGGAGGGGAAGGGAAAGGAGTTTGTAAGCTGCTCTGAGACTCCCTTGGGTAGTGAAGGGCGGGGTATAAATCCAGTCGTCGTCATCGTCTCCTCCTCCTTCTCTTCTTCTTCTCCTCCTCCTCCAATCTGGGAGAACCGGGTTTGATTCTCCACTCCTCCACATGCACCTGGCTGGATGACCTTGGGCAAGCCGTAGCTCTGATAAGAGCTGTTCTTGAAAAAAGAGCAGTTTCTGTCAAGAGCTCTCTCAGCCCCACCTGCCTCCCAGGGTGTCTGTTGTGGGGAGGGGAAGGGAAAGGAGTTTGTAAGCTGCTCTGAGACTCCCTTGGGGAGTGAAGGGCGGGGTATAAATCCAATCTCTTCTCCTCCTTCTTCTTCATCAGGATCAGTGTTGTCTCCTCAGACTGGCTGTCGTCTCAGGCAGTGGTCTCTCACAGGGTTGAGTCAAATACTTGAGGCAAGTTTCTATCTGCCAGATGGGCCGTTTTATCTTTCCACCGGCTGGCTGGGGCGATCTTGGCTCAGACATTTCTGCTTCTCCCCGTTATACACGCCCCCGGCTGCCGGCCGCCCTCTGCCTTCCCCATCACGATCTCACGCCGGAGAAAAAGCTAAACTGACAGGTGGAGGAGCGCATGTTAAAAAGCAAGAGCTATGGCTGGGGGCGGGGGGAGTAAAACTTTCCAGGGAGTTTTCTTTGGCGGCGTTATAAAACATGCCTCCATCCGCAGCGGCTGTTTGTCAGGTAATACACGGCTTGACACAAAATAAAAGAACCCCCCCCCCTCAAGGCCTTAGCGATGATGATCCCTGTCATCCCGGGCTATCACGCGTCAAATCACAAGAAAATACTGCTGAAATAAGAACAAGGAGA